AATCAATATATATATATATATATATATATTTTAAATATAAGTTAATATTAATATTAGTTAATTAAATATAAAACAAATAAAAAATTAATATAAGCAAATAATGTTTCAGATATAAAAATGTCAAGCAACATGTTGCTGTTGATCGTATTTCTAATCGGTAGCGTTAGATCAGGTGAATTTGGTGTTGAATTTGAATTACCAGAAACACCAAAAGAATCTGCAGCTTTGCCACAAGAGGAAACTCAACCAGCCCCACTTCCTGGTTTACTTTATCCTCGAGAGAGCGAATCGCGTGAGGTAAAACATATCTCGATCATCAATTAAATTATAATTCATTGTACAGTAAATTCTCTATCCCGTATAACATAATTAGTACAACACGTTAGGCTTGTTATAAAATAATGTTGTTTAAATATTTTGAATTTATTGTATATTAAATTTAAATATGATACAATGAATTATTAATATTAAAAATATCTTTTAATACAGATAAAATCGCTAGATGGTTTATGGGATTTTATCGCATCACCGTCTAATGATATTTTAAAAGGCTACACAGAATTCTGGTACATTGATTCATTATCAAAGGTATTGTTATTATCGATTCAATTAAATCTTCATAAACGTTTTATTTAAAATATTTCAAATATCATTAATTTAATATTTAGGCTGGTGAATTGATAAAAATGCCAGTACCATCTTCCTACAACGATATCACAACTTCAAAAGAACTCAGGGATCATGTCGGTGCTGTTTGGTACGAACGCAGTTTTTACGTACCCTGGTCCTGGCAAAATCAAAGAGTTTTTCTTAGATTTGGTTCAATTCATTATTTAGCCCAAGTGGTAAGTTGAATCACACTGATCCTTAGAATCATTGTTCAAATAAAAGAACCTAATAATTATTGTGCTATTCATTCCTAGTGGATTAATAACGAATTAGTGATGGAACACGAAATAGGAAATTTACCATTCGAGGCAGAAATATCCAAATATTTGATATTCGGTGGGAAAAATCGTGTAACTGTTGCGGTAGACAATACATTGCTTCAAACCAGTATACCTCAAGGAAGAATTAGTAACATTGTTACCGATAATGGAACTAAACACTTTCAGAGCTATACTTTTGACTTTTTCAATTATGCTGGTATTCATAGGTATAGTTAAACATCACCTTTCTCTATATCATTTATAATTAAATTTATCTATACAATTTGAATTATTAACTAACGTCAATATTACAAAAATATTTTCATCTTTTTGTACAACAGATCTGTATTATTATACACAACACCACGGGTATACGTTGAAGATATAACAGTGAGAACCGGAGTGGTGGGTGATATGGGTATAATAAAATATACTGTGCAGGTAGGAGGTTTAAACCAAGGTGAAATACCAATCTGTACTGTGACCTTGCATGATGCAGAAGAAAAGTTGGCAATAAAGGAGCCAGATAATACGCACTTATCTGGTATACTTAAAGTACCTAAAGCTAAACTTTGGTGGCCTCGAGGCATGAATCCTTCACCTGGATATCTTTATACTCTTGAGGTATACATATACATAAGTATAAATAGAAATCTATTTACAGTATAAATATATTGTAAATCAAATGAACGATCATATCATTTCTGTTTTAATTTTTTTATTTTCCAGGTCAGATTGTCAATACAAAATAGTACCAGTTCAGATGTTTATAGATTACCCATCGGAATTAGAACCGTGTCATGGACGAATACAAGTTTGCTAATCAATGGTAAACCAGTGTACTTGAGAGGTTTTGGAAGACACGAAGATGCAATTTTAAGAGGTCGTGGATTCGATCTTGTTACTATGACCAGAGACTATGAACTTTTACAATGGGTTGGTGCTAATTCTTATAGAACTAGTCATTATCCTTACAGTGAAGAAGTTCTACATACAGCTGACAGGTATCTAACGATTTACTTTAATCTCTTAATTGATATTTATATTAATATAATACAAAAATATATTTTTTCTTTAGGCTTGGCTTTATGATCATCGACGAGTGTCCATCGGTCGACACTGAAAACTTTTCACCTATTCTACTTCTACGTCACAAAACATCTTTGTCGGAATTAGTTAGAAGAGATAAAAATCATCCTTCAGTCATCATGTGGTCTCTTGCTAACGAACCAAGAACGCAACTACAAGGTGCCGATGTATATTTCAAACAAATTGCTGATCATACTAAAGCTTTAGATCCTACTAGACCAGTTACAATTGCTTTAGCTAGAAGTGTTCAGGTATTTATTCCGTTTGTTTGTTTATTTGTCAAAGATATATTTTTTACAAAACTGAAATGAGATAAAATTATTTACCGATTGATTTATTTATGTAGGAAGACAAAGTTGGTCAATATTTAGATGTAATTAGTTTTAATCGTTACAATTCTTGGTACGTCAACCCTGGTAGATTGGATACTATTATCGATCGAGTTATTACTGAGGCCGAAGCTTGGCATAGAAAATATAAAAAACCAGTACTTATTTCTGAATACGGCGCTGACACTTTGCCCGGTGAACACGAGGTAAAATAAACAAAATTATCACAAATAAAAATAAAAGAATAAATCACAACTTATCACAAATTATCACAAATTAAATGAAAAGAATAAATCTAAATTTATAACGAAATAAAATGTTTTAGTTGCCCAACTATATATGGAGCGAAGAATATCAAACTGAAATGTTTTCTCATCATTTTGAAGCGTTTGATCGTTTAAGAAACGAAGGTTTCTTCATCGGTGAATTCATTTGGAATTTTGCAGACTTTCGAACAGCTCAAAGTAAGATTTAATTTCCACTACAGTAGCATAGTATTCGAAAAGATGATATCCATACAATGCCTAAGAGATTAAACTATACTTATAGATATATTATATCACAAGTTACTTATATATATAAAAAAGTATACAAATATTTGTTTCTTTTTTTGGTAGATTTCTACAGAGTAGGAGGAAATAAAAAAGGCATATTTACGAGAGACAGACAACCAAAAATGGCAGCTTATCATGTTAGAAAGAGATACTATGCATTAGAAATGGAAATAGATGGAACGCCATTACCACATAATCTCGAAAATTATGTTTCTAATTATTATTCACCGCACACGGAACTGTGAATGCTATTTTGTCTTTCTTTCATTCTTTATTTTCTTTTTTAGAAAGAAAGAAGTCTATTAACTCAACATTTATATAGTTGTATTTTATGTATGTTGTCAGATAATTCTTTCTCAGATTTATCGATATAACTAATATATACTTGTATGATATCGTATATCATATAAGTTTAAAACTAAATTATTTATTTAAACGAAAGACATATTCTGAAAAAAAACAAAAGAAATTCATGTCTTGATAACTGATTATCTAACATAACGAATCAACTTATGCGTAATTACTTTTATAAGCGTCATTATGTTTCTCAACATAAATACTTAATCATCTAACACTTATCATATAATTGTGAAGTTTTTAAGCCTCAACTAAGTTTCTTATGTTTTTATATAAAAAATAAATGAAAAGTATCAAAATTTTTTAACAACTGTAACATATGTCCAACTATTTTCTCATTCTTTCTTTTCTACTACTTTTAAACAAGCATCCGCAAGCTCTACGAAAATTGATTCGGTCAAAGCTAAATCTAAAGCTTCCATTGGATCCTCGTTGTTCACTACAAAATGTAAGATATCACGAACCTGCGGATTTTCTAAACAGTTTTTAATTGTTTGATCCTGAGACAATTTTTCTAATATTTCCGAAGGTATGGTTTCATTTTCGGCATCTTCTTTACTTTTGTTTTCCAGTGATGGTGGTGATAGCAATGATGATGGGGGTGGTGGTGTAGGCGATGGTGTTTTGCAATCAGCTTTTTTATGTTCTTTACCGCAAGTAACAGAACAGCTAAACGAATAAAACGTTTATCAAGTAATTCCATTATTATATATGTACATTTGATAAAGAAATTGATCAAAAGCTTAACCTCAATAAGTACTTACAAGAGTGTTCTGCATGTAGGACACTTGTACTTCGCCAAATCCTTTTCACAAATAGAACAAATTTTATTCATTTTTCAAAAATATTATATACGTAATCAAAAAAAACGAATTTAATTATTCTTTTTATTAAAAAGATTACTATCAAAGCTACTATAGCTGCAATCAGTCGAAAATTTGTCTGTTAACAGATGGACATGCGCAATGCATGCGCAATGTATGCGCAAAACGACGTGACTGCCACCAAGTAACTAAAATTGCAACTACGGTGGTTTTAAAAAAATTAATTTAAATGGCGCTAATTTCAAATTTCTCTTTCTCCCTCTCGTTACCACCGCAGTCATGCGATTGTTTCATGCATTTATAAAAAAAGAAAGATTATTGTTTTTTCCTATCTTTATTGCTCGATTCATTAATGAGATTTCTTTATTTTTCTCTCTCTCTCTCTCTCAAACGTGTCTTTGATCACGATTGATGAAATTAATTTCACAATCAGATATAAAAATGTAACAGCTTCATGGCCTTGAATATATATATATTTACATGTTTACTTTATCGATAATCGATTTTAAAGTCCGATTTCTATTTTAATAAAATAATTTGTAAAATAATGCAATTACTGTCTTCAATTAATTCGCGAATGCAATAAAAAAAAAAGAAAAAACTTTCTTTTTTCGATTACCCATATTCTGGCAGTACGACTTGTGCCAAGGTCATTGATTCCGCGAACAGTTCCGGCTTATTTTCTGGGCCAGATTCGCAAACGACGATCAGGACAGTCTTACCAATGTTAAAACGAATAGCTTTTGCTATGAGAGAACGATGACATAGTAGAAGACTGTTAAGTTTTCATGTGGGATTTGAGCCGGCCGGTAACAAGAATATACTCTTGCATTTCACGCAACTTCACTTCATTCGAAATCTTACGAGCGGTTCGCTCTTTTCATTCACTATGTTTTTTTAGCGAATGCTTGCATTCATTGGCGTAACTATTCATATAATATTTAAATATATAAACCTGATTTTATATTTTACGTCCTACTATTATTTTTAGACACATTTTTCTAATTATAATAAATTTACTCGATCGATAATCGAATTCGAAATGTCGAGAGAAGAAAAAACAAAATGGACGCTTAATTTCAAATTCGATAATAGAAATAATTTGTAAATAGTATCAACGTAAAAATATAGTAAAATATTTAATAGTGAAATAAAATCTATAAGATATTGTTAATTCATTTATTTTATTTTCACCAATTTCTATAGAGTAGTGCAACGAATAATGCAATTTCAAATTTATCTTCATTTATCAGCAATCAAAAAAACGTTTAATATTTATAATAAATTAATTATACAACGCGGTGGGGAGGATTACAAAATGCTTGGAAATGATTAAAAATTTATTATAAAAAGTGGTGAAAATATGAGCAATGTAATTTCTAAGAAATTCGTGTTGCCTTTTTCAACGAAATTAGAGACAACGTATAGTTAATATAATCTAAATTAATTTAAAAAAAAGAATATATATTTAAACAATTAAATCATTAAAATAAAATTACATTACGCCACTGTTGACCGAGTTTACGGGTTCACCTTGAGGAGGTCGCGAAACGTCAACTACCACTTCCTGCCCCTTCACCTCCTCTTCTTTACTTGTCACCGCCATACCGGAAATGTTCCTCGATCGGAAGAGGAAGAATAAAAAAAGAAATAATGAGACAAAGTAAAATTATAAAGAGAAGTATAAGCAGAAAAAAAAAGAGAAATTAAAAGAAATATACAATTCGTGAATGGCCGAAAAGAAAGGACGTGTAACGAGTAATTGTTAGAAGAATTTCTAACTATCTCTGATCTATCCAATTATAGTTAGCACAATAATGGTGGATATACAACAAAAAAAAACAAAATGGTACAACTAATTAAGCATTGTCGTTAATATATCTTCTATTAGAAAAAAACCATGATTTCTTATTTGATTAGAGAGGATGTACGTTTTATAAAGAAACAACTGGTATGATGAGTTCGCAATTGGGTTAACAAATTTTGCAGAATTATTAGCATTTCGAAATGATTAAAAATGAATGATTACTTATTCTACTATAAGCTAAATAAAATTGTCAATAATATTCATCATATTATTCCTAATGAAATAAATTACGAAAGAAGAAAAAAAAACGATATCGTGTAGAGCATGAGTTAAGTTTTTAACGATTGAAAGATGTTAAATCGTGAAAGTTTTTGATCGGCAACATTTGTTTCCCCGTTTCTTGAAATCCCGCTGAACGTCATAGATTCACTTAAAGAAAACTTATTTAGCAAATGAAAAGAGGATCTAGGAATTGTAGAAGTGATGACAGCATCCCATGAATGACGTCAGTAGGTAGCTGGCGAAATGACGAATTATGGTAACTGTGATGACGTTGCCAGGACAAAATAAGGTGAGTAAGAAGTAAAGTGAGTGAGCAAGCAAGCAAGCAAGCAAGAAAGCAAGGAAATAAGCAAGGAAGGCAAGCAGTCAGGCAAATAAGCATACAAGTATGTAGGCTGGTATAGAAAGACAGTCATAAGTTCTTCCTTTGAAGAGGAGGAAGGAGTCAGAGAGTCAGGAATCTCCGCTAAGTCGACTCCCAGTTGGTCAGTTTCTTTCAGTCCGTCGTATAACGTGGTTCACTCAGTGTACACCGGCTTACGTATTTCTAAACTATGACATTTCATGATTACCGATTATTTTCAATATATATTATTGTTCAATCATTAAAATAATAAAGAATAACGCGTGATCATTTGCGAATATCCAAAGGACGAATCTAAAAGCCGGGTACTCAAACGACCAATTGAAATGAACACTTGACGAATGACAGTGACCCACTTGCCGGTTCCGGTTTGCCACCATATTTCAATGCAATTTTATTCTCTACTTCGAATCGAATCTATAATCATATTTTTCTCTTAGTGTTTCATTATTTTGTTATATTATTATTATACTTATAAATATAATTATTATTATTGTTTATTATTATTATTATTATAATTGTTAATATCATTATTATGAAAGATAGTGCCAAAATATTAGGACCGTCACAGTTTGTCTGCTCGTGATTTTCTCAAACGTTCTTATTTGGTGTGTTGTTCAAAAAAATGTGACCAAATTTTTTAACGTGCAAAGTGAATAATATATATATACAATCTATAATTTATTGTTTAAATAATTTTATCTTTTAAACATCATTTGTACGTCGATAAGGAAGATCGCATTTTCACACACGTAAGAGATAAGAGAATTTATTATTATAGAAAATTTACGGTAAAAGAGTCGTATTAAGGAAGAAGTTAATCGAATAATGAAAATTCAGATGGGAATTTCTGCAATCACGTAGACACCTGTATCAATAAGTATTGAATCATTTATAAATCGGTTTCCCTCTTCAATTTGTTTCTATAAGCACAGTTACCGCGAAATAAAAATCGCATTAATAATTATACTAATAATTTAATACTAAATGAAATTCGAACAATGATACAAAAATATACGGAAATGGTGAAAAATATTATTGATTTCTGATTAAATTTTTAATCCAAGTTACACTCTATTGAATTCGTAATGCAATTTGATTTTCGATAACTATGATCAAACTAGCTTGTGCATAATAGCATTGAAATTATAAATGTTCGAGGATTTCTCATTTCATAACCAACAAGGATACGACAGGACAAAGTCCGTTTAGAATGACTCGTGGGCCACGAGTTCATCGACGGAAATACATCGTACGAGTCAGATGGGAACTGCGTTCCGATATTCTGCTCGTCTTCCTGTTCCTACTCTTTCTTTCTTTTTCTTTCTTTTTCCTTGCATTTATTCCTCTTATCCGATGACGTCACTACCAACACATTTAACATTTCATCTTTTTTATATTTTTTTTTTCTTTTTTTCTTTTTTTTCATTATCAACCACTTCAACTCGCATTTTGGTAGAACGATATGAAACGGAAGAAAACAAAAAAAAAAGAAGAATAAAACTTTCTCCGTTTGTTTGTTTAAACAAATACAAATATATTTTTTTTTCTATTTCTCATTTATTATTAATATTCATCGAAGTTTTTTTTTAGTTTCATTAATCTTACATTAGTCATCAACGTGTTATCTCTGTCGGTAAGGAAGAATATATAAAAGAATAATAATAATAAAAAATTAGAAAAAAAAGAAAATTAAAAAAAATGAAGGGGGGGGAAAAGAGGATGTAGAACGTCACCTTTATCGGCAACAACGACGACCACGTCGGAACGCAGTTGCGCTCGGAATGCAAGGCACGGATTTGAGACGAACATCCACTATCGCAATAGTATAGGAACGTATCGAGTGCAACTGAAACGAGTGTGTGCATTATGGAACGCGGAAATTCAAATCGAACCGCGACACCTTAAAAAAATCCTCACTAGGGCGAGCAAGCGAACGAACGAGGGCGCCATTCCAATTTTTTCTTTTGATATTTAATATATCTCGATATTTCGTTAATCGAAAAGTCGATTACGAATTACAATAAGAATTTTTTAATAATTACTAATCATTTTTATATATATATATTCGTACATTTACTTGCATTTCTATATTTATATACGATTGTAGAGTTTCATTTGAATTCAATCATGGCCGCCAAAGCTAATACAAATTTGAATCAAATGAAATGTTTCAATAATTACGTTAACTGACATTTAATGAACATTTTAAAATGTGTTTAATATATTTTTGTTTCTTTTTTTTTTTTAATAATTATAATTCATTATATTAAATTAATAGAGAAATTTTGCGCGAGATAATACGCGCATCTAATCAAATTTGAATCATACAATCATGGCTGCCAATTCAAAACTAGATATCTACTAGTGTTGATTTTTAACGCGTTTAATAGTCAAATAATAAATATTTAAAACGAGCAAAAATAAAATTAAATTCATTTAATGTTGTAGAAAAGACGTTGAAAATCGGTAAAAGTAAGGAATGAAATATTTTTAAAACACTCGCAGTCAATTGATTCGAAGCACATTCGAGTCTAAATCGTATATAAAATGATTATATATATATATATATATATATATATATATATATAGCAAAAAATATGATAGAATATATATGTATATTTTTTTGAATATAGAATGTCGCGGAGTTTTTCATGAACCGTGACGGTGCGATAAAAATCCCGACTGTTAATTGGCCGAAGATGTTCATAAGAGCGTGCACAATGATTTACGTAATACATGAATTTAACTTTGGCGATAATAAGGAATACGGTAAATGGCATTTTCATTTGAATTATATCGCGAAAAGGAATACAACAGTGCAATTAATGATAAATTAATTTAACCAATAATTATATCGTGTATTAGTGACAAAAATGAAAACTCCGATTTATAGTGATGAACGCGTGGATGAAAATTTGCAACAGGAAGACAAACAAAAATCCAAGATGGACGATCGAAACAAAATAAATGTTCTTCCCGTTATCGAAGGTGTACAACGTGTTCAAAGACCTATTTCTAATTGGAATACAAATTTGGAAATAATATATATATTCGTAAGTATTAATATATTTTTTATTTCATTAATAACTTTAAACGTACGTTACTTCATAAATTATTCAAAAATTAATTGACTATAGGAACCACAGTATTTATCGTTGCACGCACTGTTTAACTGTGTTGACTTCGAATGAAAAAAATTGATGAAAAATTTATATTCATTATCTAGAGCACGTATTTTTTTTTTCGATAGTTCTTCCTACAAAATGTAGCACGTGGTATAATTATGTTGCTTTCCTTTTTATATAATTTTAATTTGTCAATACTTTTTAATAAAAGTATTATTCGCATAGGCTTCAAATAACAATCTTATTTTTCTTGCACGCAAAGACACGATCGCTGATAACGACGTGTTACGTTGTGTGAATAATTGTTATATAGAATCATTACGGAAAGTTTTATCGTTTTTTATATTTTCTTCCTTTTTTTTCTCTCTCTTTTTTTTTCCTTATCACTTAACGTAATCAAAGAGTCCAAAAATCGTCTTCGTGTAAAACAATTTTTTTTTGCATTTTGATACGAAGTCGACCACATGACAAATCCTGTTTTCTCTTTTATTTTTTTTTTCTCGTGAAATCATTTAATGATATCGAAATATTCTACGGAAGAGATTGCGTTTTTTTTGTTTTTTTTTTTCTTAAGGATAAGAAATGAATGAAAAATATTCGCGATTATTTACGAATTGTAATAAAAATCTGTAATTAATTCGATTTTAATTTAAACAAAGTTTTTTCCAAGGAATAATATATGTATATACTTTCTCGATATCGAGGTGTGGCCAATTTACCGTTACAAATATGTATATAACATATAACTTACATGCCAAAGAGTTGTTTGCCTAGATGAAAGCTTGTTATTCTTGTAAAAGAAACGATATCTCGAAGGAGCGAATGAAACTTCGAATTATTTACCCTGTTAAACACCTTTAGATTCTCTTCAAAACTTTGTACTTAAAGTTCAGTTTCTAGTAGATAAAAAACCAGCGTTGGAAAAAACAAAAACTATATGCAAGTATGTAAATAAACTCGAGACGATAAGAAACATTAAAAAAAAAAAAAAACTATTGTGAAGCGATGCATCCGGATGACGTCTGCACCGGCCGTGATCGTAAACTTTTTATCTGGTCGGTGGGACTTTCGTCCGTTTGCAATGCTCACGAGAAACACCGATACTTATCAAGGATCGATAATGAAGATATTCGTAGAGTGATTGTAGGTAAGTAGGTTTCGTCGATAACTAACTGCGGTCGGTAATAATCTACGTCGGTAACTTACCGACATGTCACTACATATTTTTTAAAAAAGAAAAAACATTTAATTCGCTTTCGTTTCTATATATATATATATTCATATTAATTGAACAGAAAATAATCATATGTAACGATAAATAAAAATAAATAATCACGCTTTTTTTTTTTCTTTTTTTCTGTTTCCGACGTAACAAAAATTGACTGTACCGCTGGACTGTCCAAGAAAAAAAGATAAACCAAGGGGAAAAGATCAATAAATAAATATATATATATATATATATATAAATATAGAATAAAAATTGATGTACAAACTTTCGTGTGAATAGGGCACGAATGATTGATAACTTCGGTGCAAAGTATGGAAAAATTTTCTTTGAGGATATCTCAAAAGTCATAACATGATAGAGAAAAAGGTTGACACTAGACTGGAACACGAGGCCATCACGCGGAAGATGACTGAAGATATATACGTGGTATGTAATAGTACGCATAATCGATTGACCGCATAACACCACCAATGCTACGCTAAAGGATTATATTTTTTTATTTATTATATATTATTATTCGATATCTGTCTCTGTGTATGACTGTAAAAATGTATGCGCACGCATATCTAAAAACACTTCTCCCAATTTCCTTCGATCGTTATTATCGAGTAACAAGTTCGACATTGAACAGAAATCGTTTAGTTTTCATCGATCACACGTATGTGATATCAGTAAGGATAATCTCAATTTTGTAAGTATATAATTTATACATTTATTATTTCACACGTATGTATATTATTACGGATATAAATAAATATAAAAAACATCTTTTTTTAAATAGTATTTCTTTTCTTACTAGAGTTTTTTTTTTTAAATATTGCAACGCTTACCTAACGCTTAACATTGATAATTCTTTTGTTTTACGGGTCACAAGATGTTAATCTACGTTTTGTTTTTGAATTTAAATTAATAATAAATATAATAAAAAATAATAAACTGTGTGTTACTTTATTAATTAGATCTAATTTTTGAATCGTTACGATGTCTAAACCGGAAGTTTCTACATCGGCGATCGTTACACGATCGAAGAAAGAAAAAGTTATCAATGATCCTAAACAATTGTCGAGTGAAATTAAAGCTGAAATTAAAAGCAAAGCGATCATTGAAAAGGCCGTAGTTGATTTACCAGTTCCACAAAAAGTACAACCGGTGAAGGAAACCGCAAAGACTGATATACAAGTTGAAAAAAAAGTTATCGAACAATCGATCGAAAAAAAGGTCGAACAATCGATCGAGAAAAAAATCGAACAGAAATCTTTCATTGAGGAATGTTCGATTTTCGAGAAGAGCGTAAGTTTAAATAAATTCGATTTGTATTTTTATGTGCATTTGTTCTTTTTAAATTAAATAAAATTATTTATTTAATTATTTATATATATGTTTAAAGAAACCGAGAAAAGAGCCGCCATCTTCTTCAGTAAAGGATGAATGCTCGATTCTCGAAAAAAATGTAAGTTAATTCTTGTTGCATGGTTGTTTCTTTTTTTTTTTATTTAATAAAAAAAAATTGATAACTACTATATGTATATATTTCTTTTTTTCTATTATATATTTTTTATAGAAACCAAAAAAAGAAGAGTTATCTACTTTAATAAAAGATGAACCTTTGAATATCGTAACGAATGTGAGTCAATTCTTTTCTTTATTTTTTAAATCCAATAAATTTGATAATTTTATAATCTTCATAATTATTTTTTTCTATTTATTTATTTTGCTTTGCATAGATATCAAAAGAAAAAGAATTATCTCCTCCGAAGAAAGATGAATTTATTAGCTTGGAAAAAAATGTAAGTTAAATTTATTCGGTCGTTTTTTCTTTTAAATTAAATCAAATTAATAATTTATCACATTTATCAATATTATTTATAACAATTTTTTGTTTGTATAGAAACCCAAGGAAGATCTATTCTCACTAAAAAAAGATGAATCCTTAAATCTCGAAAAAAATGTAAGTTAATTTGATTGATTGTTTTTTTAATTCCCATAAATTTAATAACTAT